CTGATTCATTTGTCCATGCTCTGTATTTCTGTAGTGAAATATTTAAGGGAATAGTTCACCCAAAAATTCAAATTTGCTGAACATTTACTCACCCTCAGGCCCTCCAAGATTAGTTAGATGAGTAGATGAGTTTGTTTCTTCATCAGATTTGGAGAAATGTAGCATTGCATCACTGTCTCAGCAATGGATGCTCTGCAGTGAATGGGTGCCGTCAGAATGAGAGTCCAAACAGCTGATAAAAACATCACAATAATCCACAAGTAATCCACAGCACTCCAGTCCAGCAGTTCTTGAGAAGCCAAAAGCTTTAACAAAACCATCAAGACATTTTAACTTTAAATGATTGCTAAAATAAATAGTCCATAATCCATAATAACGCTTCCTCCGGTGAAAAAGTGCTCTGGTCTGAATCAGGAGAGAAATCTGCACAGATCAAGCACCATTTAACAAAATGGTCCAAAACAGCTCTAAACAAATATATTGGTGGATTTTGATGTGAGAGACAACAGGAGATTAACTTTTTCTCTGGAAGAAGCATTATTATGGACTCAAATTTTTAGCCAAAAGTGAAGGTTTAAAGTTAAAACGTTTTAATTATGGATTTGTTTCTTACAAACATGAAGCTTCACACGATGTTAACTGATGGACTGGAGTGGTGTGGATTACTTGTGGATTATTGTGTTATGTTTTTATTATTATGTTATGTTTTTATCAGCTGTTTGGACTCTCATTCTGACGGCACCCATTCACTGCAGAGCATCCATTGGTGAGCATGTAAAAAGGTAAAAGTGTGCTTATTTTTTACACTGAGAATGACAAAAGTTTTTTTTTTTAACATCAATTCACCCTATTTAAACAGATACTGTTCCTTTAAATAGCTTCACTGTATTTAGCCAGCATTTGTGAAGAGCTTAGTGCTAAAAGTGCTGCTTGACTGTAATTCATCTACTTTAAATTATGAGTAGCTTGTTGTTTGGCAAACTTCAGCTTCACACACGCAGACCGCACAAACCACACTACCAGCCAAAATCAAAGCAGCAGCCGAGTTTCAATCATACAGAAACATTCCACTAAAGAAAAATGCATCTGTATGAAGAGAGCGGGTGAGAGAGATGTTGTGGTTTTGTTGCTGAGACGCATGAACCCACAAGCAGCCCGGCAGCCTTCCCAGAAAACAACTATATTTCTGACAAGCACTCTAATGCAACCACAACAAACACACACACACTGGAGGCTTATGGGTCTAAAGATATCGATGGGTTGAGGGTGGTTAACTTGCCAACAAGCTCAGATTTATGATGTGTTCGAGGAGACATTTATCAAACAGCTACTGACACGCACACACACACTTAAATTGGCTTGTTTGATTTGAAGAAAATAATTGATTTGATTTGCTGACTCCTTGGCTGAATGATTTGATTGGTTGCAATAACTGAGGGTGTTTTCATCTTGAATCACAAATAAGATCTCAATAAAGGAATTGTTGACCCAAAAATTTAAATTTGCTGAAAATGCACACGATCACAAATGCAGACATGGTTTTATGTTTACGCGGCGCGATGCAACGCAACACGTAAAAAGACAGTATAAGTCATTATAATCCATAATTATGTCCCCACTGGATGCAACGAATGCCTCGTTTATAATGGGTTTTAATGTTTTTGAATCATCGCTCCGGCCTGACAGGGCATCATCACAGTATGGTGAGGGGTGTAACATTTCCGTCACACGCTTGAGGTATTCGGCCAATCACAACGCACTGGATAGCTGGCCAATCAGAGCACACCTCGCTTTTTCAGACCGATGAGCTTTGTAAAAATCGACGCGTTTCAGAAAGGCGGGGCATAGGGGAGAAACAATAATGTACAGTATGTGGAAAATAATGTGTTTTTTGAACCTTAAACCGCATAAACACATTTCATTACACCAAATACACAAAATAATGTTCTTTTTAGCAACATCATATGACCCCTTTAACATCTTGAGCCAAAAGCTGTGTGTTTGTAAGAAACAAATCCATCAAGATGTTTTAACTAAAATACAAGTCCATAATCCATAATAATGCTTCCTCCAGTGAAAAAGGCCATCTCCTGTTGTCTCTCACATAAAAATCCAGCCACATATTTGTTCAGAGCTGTTTTGGACTGTTTTGGTTTGTAAACGGTGCTTGACCTGTGCAGATTTCTCTCCTGATTCACACCAGACCATTTTTTTTTACTGGAGGAAGTGTTATTATTATGGATTATAGACTCGTATTTTAGCAAAGGTTTGAAGTAAAAAAATGCCTTGATGGATTTGTTTCTTACAAACGCAGCTTTTAGCTTCTCAAGATGTTAACTGATGGACTGGAGTGGTGTGGATTATTGTGATGTTTTTATCAGCTGTTTGGACTCTCATTCTGACGGCACCCATTCACTGCAGAGCATCCATTGCTGAGCAAGTGATGCAATGCTACATTTCTCCAAATCTGATGAAGAAACAAACTCATCTACATCTTGGATGTCCTGAGAGTGATACTTATTCAACAAATGTTCATTTTTGGGTCAACTACTCCTTTAAATTCTAACTGTTTCTCATGAACACGGACGCAATTGACTTATTTGTGCCTATTTTAATTTCTCCTAATGAATTTGAAGTGAAAATCACTTAGACAGAAATATGCTAATAAGAACTCCATTAAGACTCTTGCAACTTCTGAGCAATAAAGTTTTCAGTTACAATTCAACATTTCAATAAACCTATTTAAACAACAAAGTGTTTGAAGTAAATAAGCTTCAGAGTTTGTGTCCATGACAACTTCAGATAAATTGTTGCCAGACCCTGTCGCCATGGTTATGCTTCTCAGACACCGTACTAATTAACCGGGAAAGTTTTACACTGCTACAGCTTGTACACACACACACACATTTCATTAGACACAATACAAACACAGTTTTTTATCCTGTTGATTCAAACGTTCCTTCTGTTTCAACTTGGATTCCATCCAGAGCAGCTGCTACACATGCGTTTACTTATCTGAATGAGGACATACCACAGACTTCTATTGTTTTATTTACAGCTGATTATGACGACTGAGTGTCCCAAACCCTCTAAGGAAAACTTTTGCATTAAAAAAAAAAAGTGCTCTTTCTCAACCTGGATCCAAACACTTAGTGCATGCATTTGGGAGAATGACTGAATGAACGACTGGAAGAGCGTGCAATGGTGCAAGAGGAAACTTTCCAAACATGCCATTTAAAACATAATCATTACTGATTGCTGTTGCTGTTGTGTGGTTAACATAACCCCTCTTGATATTAGTGCAATTATTTCTTTAATTTACACATTTAAATGGCACATTTTAAAGCATTTTCGGAAGTGCATCATTAACTCCTAATGACTCTGAATTAGTCTATTGTGTTTCACACATCCAGACATTAGGCTCATTTAAAGTCATTATGGCTTCACTAAACGACACTGAAGCACTAATGTCTCTCAGCAGACTATTGTGTGGTACACACTGCATACTGTGCATCATGTTTATCATTCTCCAACCATCTTGATTGCTAAGAATATTCACGGACAATCAGCTGAAGCGACTGAAGGCTGCTGGGATAGTCGTCCTGACAGCATTGCAGCACAATCTATCGGCTCATTACCATTTTAATAGCTGCTCCACGGATACCAGCCTGCTTGTCTCTTTTTTCTCAGTCTGTCATTTAAAAACTGCTAATTACTGCTGACCTCCGCCCGTCAGGGTCACGGGAGGGGGTTGGGAGCAGGCCGGGTGTCGGGCAGGGGGTTTTATTCTGATAGTTATTGACCAGTGAGGCGAAACAGAGGGAGGAGACGCATCAATCTAACGCTTGTAATCTGGGTTCAGACCCCCAAATCTCTGTCCAAAAGAGAAGTTTCTTCACACGGATCGCTTTAATCAGAGTTTGGATCCCTGCTGCACTAAACTCAATAACTAGCTTTAAGAAAAAACATCTAACAGGGAAAGTTCTCAGAATGTTCCGGTAAGGTTCTCTCAAAGTTTTGTTACACTTTTTAAATGTTGCTACTTGTTTCAGAACGACCGGAGAACATTCAAATGTAACATTCCCATAATGTTTGCAAAATTGTTCCCTATTAAAGTTCGCATAACCCAGGAAAAAAAAACCTTTGTAACTACATGCAGGGCAATATTGTTTAAAAAAAACACAGAAATTAGAAATTTAAGATATTATCATGGATTGTATTTCGATGTTCTGAATAACACTT